AATGATTAATGGAATATAATATGGTAAAGGTTTTCCATTTATCCATATGTTTCCTGGATATTCTAATATGATTGTTAAAAGATTAATTAGAGTTAATAAATAGTATAATATAACATATGATTTACTATAGTAATGTTCATACAACTGTACAGATAAAAGATCTCGTTTATATTTTATTTCTAATCTTGTTTCACATGCATCACGAATTAATGTTGTGGCTAGAACAAGTTGCCTTGCTCTATGGTTTAAATTTTTATAATTTTCGTCCATTTTTTTAATATCATTGAACTTTACCAACAGCTATCTTGTTTTGAGAAAAATAACTGTAGAAATAAGATAAAGAGAATTTGAATTAACTATTGATCGATAGATGATTGATTATGCGCAATAATCTATCGAACTATGATTTCAATTGTAAAACGCGGAAATTCACTACTTTGTTTAAATGAATCTTAAGTGATTGAACTATCCTTTATAGCATTTATCGACAAAGCTCAGTGAATTTTATAATGTGAATATGAAAAAAATTCTGGTCGGCATTAAATCAGAGCATTTATCCAATTTGGTAATTACTTACATACTGAATACCGATCAGATTTAAATTTAGATGTAATACATAGTCCCTAAGCTTATTTTTTTAAACTCAAACCTTAATTCAACGTCACAAATTAAAGTTTAGGAACCAGCAGTCTAATCATTTTAAGAATATGAGAGTTGTGATTATTGCAGTCGCAGCCTCAAAGATGTTGTGTTTGAGTCATTAACTGAGCGTACTATCAATTACAATTTTTTACAAGTAAAAATAACGAAGTGACTTATTCACTTGTCAATTACAAGAAACTTAATAATAACACTCGCTACAAGAATATGAAGAATCCGTAGCCCCGAAGTCGTAGATAAAGGATTGGGCCTTTTAAAAGAGATACTTATCAAAAACGGGTATCCTTCGATATTCATTGATAAGAACATGAGGCTGAGGACGCCAAAAACGCAAATAATTACAGTAAAAAAGAAAACTTAATACATGAACATCGACTTCAAAGGTGATAGAGCCCACATGTATCTTAAAGAGGAGAATTTCGGATTCCTTAAAAATGAGCATTCTTCGCAGCAACATTGCGAATATTATTCTCCAGCCGATCATTGTTTATCAATAATCTGAAAGATAAATTATTGCATCTGACCAACTCAGTGTGCATTTACCAATTTACCTGCTCATGTGGAGCTAGGTATATAGGTCGTTCGATGTGTAATTTATCCAAAAGTATTGAAGAACATTGTCCGGAGCGGTTAAAAAGAGGAGGCAACGGGTTAATAAGAAGCTCTATAATCGAACACCTTGTGAACACAGGTCACTCAATCAAGACAGACTCAGCGTTCAAAGTCATCTACAGGGTAAGTAGAAGTCTTCCTAAGGCAATTAGACTGCATCTTCTTTGCATTGCCGAAGTAATAACCATACATCTGGAAAAACCAGAATTATGTGAGCAAAAGAGACTGGTACGACCTCTTCTTCTACCATGGTCTTAATGTAACAAAATTTTTTTCTTGTTCCTTTACAGCCATCTGCTTCACCTTCCACCTTACCCTTAAATCTTCTACCCCCAACTGGTTTGTTTTTATTTCCACGATCATTCCGATTATATTTCATCTCAATTTCAACATTTTATCTTATCATGCTGAGCCATCCTTTACCAATGTTAATTTCCATATCTATCTTTTGATGAATACTTAAGCCATTAACAATCAAACGATTAATAAACTTTCCTTGTTATATATATATATATATATATATATATATATATATATATATATATATATATGCGATTGTACAGCTCTGAAAATGGATTCGCCGGAAAGATGACTCTTCGCTGAACTAATCTTTCTTATTTAATGTCTCAATGGGTGTATCCCGTTTATTAAAAAATAAAATTCTATCATTTGATTGGTTTGTGATTAATTTAGAATTAATTTCGTGAGCCGACCTGAGATAGACCACCATTGAAAACCTGTAAGCATTGAATGGTCGTTTCGTCGTAGCATGGGACTTCTCAGCGGTGTGTATCCACGAACTCACGGGCGGGACTCGAACCTAGGACCTTCGGTCTCGCACACGAACACTTAACCTCTAGACCACTAGCCCCGCATTCAGTAGTGTTGATGTCTAACTTCAGTCGATCCATGAAATTGCACAACCCTTCATCCATTGTCTGAAGTGGATAGCTGTTTCCCATCAGCACAGATTAAACTCCAGTGGCCACGGCCGTCCATTGCATCCAGATTTTCGATATTAGTCTAGCTTAGATCGGCTTATGAATTCAACTATTAAAGTTACCACAGTCTCCACAAATCTTCATTCTTATCATTATAGAATTATTTATTAGTTTTTAGCCCCACTTAATCTTTATAAAGTTTGGTTTTCTCTTAGACTTCTTTCGCTCTTTCTGAGGATTCAATAAAATGTATTCAAATAACTTCTATAGTCAAGGTGACTTCTTAACTTTTCAAAATTATTACACTCATGTTTGCACTCGTATTCTACGATTCGTATACGACGAAAATGTCTGTGATGTAGTGTCCGATTGTCTAAATGAACAATATCTAAGACTCAGTTCCCAATATTTTTAATGAATATACCTTCACTCTTTACACTTTCATCGTGTTTGAAGTATCAGGAAACATGATATATATATATATATATATATATATATATATATATATATATATATATATATATATATAGTCTCCAGCTATTATTTATGAAGCCTCTCTTTTGTTTTATTTTTTAAAATTACTGTCGCATTTCAACATTTCATCTCAGTTTCACTGAGTAAATTTTTGTTTTCAAACATCTTGTGCATTTCAACTATAGTCTGCTCTCAGTTAGTGTAAAGCATTGAAGATGAATTAGTTTTAACAAGTTTATTCCTCTTTTCTCCCTTTTTAAAATTTGTCATTAATCGAATGATCTGTTATAAAATTAAAATATCTGTGTTTTTTCGAACTGATTAGCCAGTAGTGAGTTCAAATTATACGTGAATGAACCTCGAAGATTGTCTAAATGATCTGATTCACAAGAAACACTTCTGAAAACCGTCAAAAATTATTCCCTCCTAGTGGGAGAAAGATTCATCACTACTGACATCAATATCTTTTGCCACAGTGACGCCGGTCAACAGCCCTCAAGGTTATCGAGCAACTCACACACATTTTTAGTAGATTTATCGACAGGAGGCTGTATGGCCTGTGTTAGTCTTGGATATAGTGGTCTCTCATTTAATCCAGCTTTCTTTTGAAAGCGTCGATAGATGGAGCTTCATCCATGTGTTAAGATAATGAATTCTGTTCGTTAATGGTTCGATGAGGAAGTCGATAATCTGCTAACAAGTAATTTGTCCTGGGCTTCTGAACATTTTAAAGTGTCCCTAAAAGTTATCTGTTTTGGAAAACAAGAAAAACGAGAGTATATCAAACGCAAATTTATCACTAAGTAACCTAAGAACTATGATTTGGTCGCCTCTGGTTCTTTGATACGGCAATGAGAATAGGTTTAGTTTCGTCAATCGAGCACCACACTGGAGCTTTGTTGTTACGGGAATCAGCATAGTTGCGGTCCATCGAATCTTTTCCAACAGCTCGCTGTCTCGCCCTAGGCAGCAGCTAGCCGCTTGTATGTAATATTCAAGGACGAACGATTACTGTATACAAAATCAACAACGTTTTAACCTGACATGGCTAAGCAGTCTATGTATTGACCATAGGTCTCTAAAACCTTTGGCTACCATCACGCGACAGTGTGCTGTGGTTTTGACTCTTAGGTCGCTTCGTGTTTGGACAACAGGTAGCTCAATGACGTTTGCCATGTATGTATCAGTACCTTGATGATCATTATATATAACAACGCACTTGGGAGCATTTATCAGCAACTACAAAATTTTAGACATGTCAGATAATTTCTCCAGGTCATTTTAAAGCTCTAAACTACCACCCCTACTCAGTGTCGCTCTCCATAACTTGACATCGTCGGCATATGGCAAGACCGATAATAATAGGAGACGAGGAAGGTCATTTACATACAAGAGGAACGACGACGGTCCAAAAACTGTACCCTGAGGCACTCCGCTAAGCTCAGTTTCCCGGCTAGACAACTTTGAGTTCGCCCATGTGCTTTGTTGGAGACCAACTAGGAAGTATTTCATTCACATTAATAAATTGCCTCCAACCTCGATGTTACTTAACTTATATAACAGCCAGTTATGGAGAATTTTGTCAAGAGCGTTAACGAAGTCAATGTAGACTGCACGTATAATTAACTTTTGTTCCTTAACAGCACACCAACTTTCACGAGGTACTAATATGCTAGTAAGACAGGCGTGACCTGTTCTAAAGCCATTATACTTTTCAGAAATTATCCAGTTTTCGTCAAAATACTTGAACAACGCTTTCCGAATAATATTTTCTAAAATTTGAACAATCACGCTAGTTGGGCATACGGGTCGATAGTTCTCAGCTCTATGTTTCGTACCTGTTTTGAAGACAGGGCTAATCACGGCGTTCTTCCAGTCGTTTGGTAATTGACCATGAGTTACAGATAGATGTTTTATGAACAAGTAAATTTACACATTGAATAAAGGAATTAAAAGTCAGTGATCTTAACCATAGATACATTAATTAATGAAGTAAATATAAAGTTAAAAATTATCAAATCAAATGAAAAGGGCTCTTTCTGAAGAGTCATAATAGAACTAGCAAAAAGATGGAGTTTATGTTTAAATGATTTCACTCCCATGATTGTACGTACAAAAAAAGTGAAAAAAGGATTAGAACATTTTTGTTTTTTTAGAATTTAAGCAGTTAAACAGTGTGATTTAAATTTAAGTAAAATATAAAATTTACAAAAGTAAATTCTGAAGTAAAAAAGACAATTTACGTGATTACCTCTAGAAGAAGCAAAGTCACCGTTTAATAATTGCATAATCCAAATGAATGAGATATAGAAATTAGGATGAAGACGATGATATTAACTCAATAGACTTCAGTTGTGTTCGATACAGTTTTACAAGTTCTTGTTTAGTGATAAATGTATAACGAAATGACTGTGATCAAAAAGAAAATTATATAAATCTTAGAAAATGGTTAAGTAATAATTACATTGTAAAAATGTAGTAATGTATATTATTAAAAAAAGAACAAACTTTTATGCAAGTAGTTTCCTATGAAAACTTGAGTCAAGTAAGAACAATAATGAGAGCAGAACAACATTAATTCATTTCATTTTATTAGGTTCTCATTAACTCCTGACAACTTGTAAGTCGAATTTGAACAAAGTTTAGCATACTTATAGAAGTCAAGTTGGTTCAAAGTTAGTACGAGAATATATCAGTATGATGTATCGAAAAAGTTGAACTTACAATGATTGAGTAGAATGTTGTGAGCATGTATATATAGTCAAATAGAAGGTTCTATAACATTGATTACAGTAATGGAAAATGAACATATGAGGCGTATAGAGACTTTAATTCCCGTGTCCGTAATAAGACAGTTGATTCTTAGATGCACGATGAATATCAAATCTAAATGCAACAATGAATACCATAGACATCTGGTTCGTGTAGCCATGGGGTTACCGTTCCGAATGCAGTTCTTTAAATTACAATCCTTAAATATGCCATCGAGAAAATTATAACTTGAAGGTTAAGAAAGACAGTGCTGAAAACATTTGCTGCAGCCAAACTGAGTGCACTTTTCTACAAACTGCCGATACTAAAAACCTTCAACAAAGAAAAAAATGACTGAATTCACCCCATCCTTTTGTATCTACTAACTCAACTGTTCCTAGAGGGTCAGTTATATAGGGTGTACAATTCAACAAATCCGTCATCGCATAGCAGAACACCATCCATCTTGGTTGAGCAAACGACGAATAAGAGTGATTATGAGTTCTATTCTCACTCACTTGGTGGATACAAGACATCAAGTTGATTTGAAATAAGCTTTTAAGGTTATTTACCGTATTCCATTAAATTTACCATATGGTTTACGAGTTTGTCTGTCGTATATTGCTTAAACTATCGGAATTCATGTCAATCAAACCTAATCTTTGCATACAAAAGATGCTTATACAACCACTTTTGCTACCTAGGTCATAGGCATTGGAGTGAGTTTTTAACTGAACTTTATTAGACTTTTCCCTTCAAAAATATTCGACTAATTTTTTAAATTGAGATTATGAATCGATGAATGTTAGAACACCATTGAAAACCTGGAAGCACTGGACGGCGATTTAGTCCTAGTATGAATTTCCTCAGCAGTACACATCCACGAAACGGCCGTCTAGTGCTTCCAGGTTTTCAATAGTGTTATAACATTCGTCTGTTCATGATCTCAATCAAAAACTTAATAATCTCCACACCCTCATACTGATAATTTTCTAATTTCCTTCACATTTGCATTTCTACGAATTCTCAACATTCGTCTTTTCATTCTTACATAACTACTATAATACCAACTTTTTATTTAAATATTTTGTTACTTCTGTTTATATAATATACAATGTAGCAACCGTTTTTTTGAATAACTACTTTGGTTATTATAATCCTCTTCCTTCTAATTACTCAATATTATTTTATGATCACTTCATCATATAATTATTACGTAACACAACTACTCAATGAGTAAATCAAACATATGCATATTAGTGTATAGCCATGATGAATAAATTAATGAAGAGAAATTTTTTTCAGTCTTCAAAATAAGGATTTCTACTATAATCAAAACTAAGTGATAACCGAATGATATGATGGAAAACATCTAAACTTATAATGAAATTTAGAAACATCATTTACTCAATTACTTTGCTTACAACATTCTACTCAATCATTGTAAGTTCAACTTTTTCGATACATCATACTGATATATTCTCGTACTAACTTTGAACCAACTTGACTTCTATAAGTATGCTAAACTTTGTTCAAATTCGACTTACAAGTTGTCAGGAGTTAATGAGAACCTAATAAAATGAAATGAATTAATGTTGTTCTGCTTTAATCGCTGTTCTATCTCGATTCATGGACGGATTTATTCGGAATAAAACTTGAACGAGATAGTTTATACAGAGTTTATTAACTTCACATTCTCCAAAATAAATTTTACCCATAGTCATGTTTCCAGTTGGGTAGTACTGTCATAGTTCGCATCATTATCTTTTCGCAAATTCTGTTCAAAGTTTGGAAACATTATATTTATTTCACTTATATATACCATGTCATTTTAATCTGATGATTCTAATTGTGAATACTTACTCCCAGTAGATTTATTCATTTTCCAAAGGTATATTTTTAGTTAAGCTACTTTTGATTGATTTATCTATAGTCGCGAATTTGCTTCATTTTCTTTATTTACTGATTTGTATTTAGAATGGTGACTGAACTACTGAGGCCAACGTAAGAGGAGAAACAGTGAAGCATAATTACAAGTTGTAACACATATTAAATCATCAATTCATCAAATAGGAAATGGAATAAAATACTTCGTAGGACTTTATTTGAATCGACTTCATAAACGAGGAAAGATACATTGAGGCTTGATTATAACGTCACAGATTATTCAGTAAACACTGATTTACGCTTGAACAACCAATGAATAAAAATCCCACACATATGCTCATACATCCATGCTAATTATCCCGTACATCAGACAACAAGATGATCTCTTTATCTGTTTTAGATAAGTATTGTTTTAACATGGCGGTTGTAACAAAACTAAATAGAAACTCAGCCAATTAATAGCTTAGTTTATATAAATAAACTCTGTTAGGTTTTACTGGCATAAACTAACATAAGTATTAAGGCGTCTAGGTATTTTATTGAAGCAAACTCGACTACATTCTCACCAAATACTGGTAATCTAATGATGTTAACAGAGATATAAAGTGGCCATAAAAAACAACGGAAGTTATTTCGGGGGACATTATTTCACTTAATTCAAAGTTTGCAAAATACTTACATTTAATTTTGTCCCTAGATTATTCCATAAACCATAAGCTTTGCTTGATGCATAATTCACCATCATACCATTTCCTATTCCAGAGCTATTGTAATTTAAACTTAACCTTCGGTACTTTATATTCCTATCCTATTGCCCAGTTTGCACATAATTGTACTTTCATAATTGTTTGTGTGTTGTAATTGTGTTATTCATCTATTTATTCATTATTTTTTTCATACTCATCTGAACCGAGATTCGGGAATAAATAGAGAAGAGCTTCAGTTGACTCGTCTTCTCTCTCTCTTTTCAATCAATCAGGTGATCGAATAGTTTGCGTCTCTGCCTAAGGCCATTGGTTTTATTGCGAACTCACGCATTTTTAGCCGCAAATGTGGACGGGTTAGCTTATCGTGTCAAGACCTTGATCTAGATCTAAACAAGTTTTCTTCAGTACGTTATTAGGTAGATAAGTCGAGGATGTAACAACTAACCGTCACTTCCCGTTTAATCAGTATTCCTAATTACAAACCACATAGTTTAGTCTGATTATCATAAATTAATGTTTATTTCTGATGTGCTTATTTTGTAGTACCATCCATCCTACTGCTACTTCAGACAATCTAATCAAGATTATCACCTATACTCTCATTTTAAAAATATAGTTTACATATTGTTTCCTTTTGATAGGTAGTGATAAACTTAGATATTTTATCACTGTGGTAATTAGATAAATTTATATATCCTAAGCGAATTTTAGATTCAAGAATTTAATTTCTATGTACGTTGATCTTCCAAAAATTTGGGATATGATAAAATCACATTATAGTGCTAATAATGCTTAGAGCAATGTTCCGCATAGATGAATAAAATTATATTAACTTACATGATTAATAAGCACATGTTCACCGACTATATTTTTAGGTAGATTACGTAAAGATTCCATTAATTTATCCATTGAATTCAATCTTCTTCTTGAATTCGAATCTCCCAGTAAAAGTTGAAATATAGAAAGTGCTATACGAAATAAAACCTTCACACCTAGAACGAGAGTGAACAAAGAATATTTTGTACAACTCCATGATCTTTCATAATACAAGATTTGAATTTTTAATTCTACTTAATTGTTGATCAGTATTTGTCCTGTTACAGTTTACGTTTTAAAGTATTAGGTATTTATCGAGAGTGAGTTGATTGAAGCTAAACCCACTTGCAAAATCTGGATTAGTTGAATTTAGACATTAACACCGTTGGAAATCGGCTCAGTGGTCTAGTGGTTAAGCGCTCGGGTGAAAGACTGATAGGTCCTGAGTTCGTATTCCACGAGGCGGGGTCGTTGATGCGCACTGCTGAGGAGTTCCACAATAGAACGAAACGACCGTCCAGTGCTTCCAGATTTTCCATGGTGGTCTAGCTCCAATTAACTCAAGATCTCAACTATTGAAATTTCTTCTACTGTTGATAGATTGTAACAGAATATATATATATATATATATATATATCCTTAGATGGATATATTCTTGAACTAAGCAGTCAAAAAACATTCAGTTTGTATTGATCAAGTTTTCATTAGTTACTTGGTCTTTCCTCTGAGTGCATGGTAACTTATTGATGTCATTGTCGATTTCGTAAACCTAAACTGCCGATAATAGAATAGGAGATGGCATTCTTAAATGAAGTATTCGACAGTCGAAAATCAAAGTTTAACTGTGGCAAAATTATTATATTACTAAGCAAGTTGACTGCCCAGTGGGATGGTATTGAATAGATTATTCTAGAAGAGTTATTAAAAGAGATTTTACCGTAATTTTCATATAAAGCTGCTTGGTTTGAGGAACGTAATTTGTCCATCTGGGATGATTACTAAAATCCCAAAAATCTATATTCATAACTTCATTTCTAGACGTTTAACATTATAAGTATTGCTTGGTGGTAAGTAATTAAGCTTTTTAAATCACTGTACATCAAAATAGCTATTATAGACAAAATTTCTGGTTTCATACACATTCATCCTTTAGTAGCATTGATATATCTAATAGTCGTCAGTATAATACTGTACCTTATGCTGAGCCCAAGTTATGGTTACAACAATTACCATCGTAATACACTGACGTAACAAAATGTGAGATATTCACAGACCATCGTAGTTAATAAGTTAATCAAATAGTACTTTAGTAGAAATCAGAGATCTTCAACATATATAGTTACATTTGATAAAATGTTAAGTGATTGATCCTTTCTTCAACGTGGTGACTTGGCAGATACATTGAATGTAGAGAAATAGTCTATACATACCTTCAAAGAAGAACATATCCCATATACGAAGGACTGTAGACCATGGCAAATTGCGCGTATACAAACACATGAACCAGTCAATAGCGAAATACATTGGCTCTGTATTACATTTCACCTATGTTCATGAAATAAATAAATTTTAAGCATTAATATTCTGATGGTCAAGTGGTATAGGCAAACAAACTTTCAGAGTTGAAGCTTTTGTTCCAAATGTTTCAGAAAAATAAACTTGTAACGAAATGAAGCCTATCAACAGAAAGTACCTTTATTTGATATTCGTATGAAACAGTAATTACCATGTACATTATTACAAATTTTGCTCTAACTTTAATACGGTACCTTGAAGAGTGTTTACGGTCTTCTCCCATTCTTAACATTTAATTCATTTGCAGCTAGTAGGTTTTGAACAGGTCTGAAAATTTTAGTATCACCAACATTAATATTAGTACCTACTATTCAAAAGAAGTTATGTGCAAGTAAGAACAGTAAAAGCCCTTAAGTGTTATAACCAAATAGATTAAAAATAGCTAACATATTCATATTCTTGCAAATGCAACAAAGTGGCGTTATTGAATTTATTTTATTTAATCGTTCATATAATACGCTATTTATCGCCACCTTTCAAACATTTTCTTACCAAACTCAAGAAAATGAATTTCACTGATACACTGAAAAACATACCATGTGATGGTATATATCTGGTTGATATTTCTTCACCAGTTCAAATAACATGTTCAATTCAATTTTGACACGTACCTTGAATCAAATCAGAAGTTAACAGTTATTACTATGACTAGAGTGAAAACAATCAAGTATTTTGAAATAAAAGTAATGATAGAAAACACCGATAGCTCAAATTATGTGTCTGTTTCCCGTTAAAAATTAAGGTATAATAATTCTGAATTGAAACTAATCCCGACAGGTAAGGAATAATTACCACTGACAGATAAAGAACGGACAGCTACGCTATAAGTCAACAGTGGTAGGAAACTATCAACAAGGATTTGTACTGAAAGCCGAAAGGTTATTGTTTGGTCCCTAAATAATGAAGTTTTTACAGTTGTACATTTCGAGGGCAAATAGAACCATCTGTCAGAAGGGTTGCTCAGTCAACATTAACTTTCCAAAAGCATTTTCAAAATGATTGTAGATTGGTGAAATTACCAGACGATAATTGTTGGACTTATGAAATAAACACTAATTAAACATGTTGGGAATGAGATAAAGTCTAATTTAAGCAGTACAAATAGTAAGTTAATTAAACACAAAAAGCAAAACAACTATACCACATAGTAAAGCCTTAAAAAATAAAACTGTTTATCCAGAGCAAAGTAAATATTTCATTTATGAAAATGAAGTTGACAACGAAAGGTGACAATGGTTTAACATCAAAATATTAGTGTCTCATTTTTGTGCATTATGTACTTTGAATAATAAACAGGAATATAAGTAGTGTACTTTTACATTTAGCGAAACTCATGTTCTATAATCTACACCCCACAAGCATGTCACCTTCCACTACGTCTTTCCTTTTTACATGAACTTGAATAATCGATGTACAAAAAAGAATCGGAAAATGACTGTCTATTTGGTCCTACTAATGTTCAATAAGAAGTTAATATGTGAAAGAGAATAAAGCATTCTCAGTGCAATTACCGGACGGTAGATTATAATACTTTATTTTACGTGTATTTAACTTACCGTTTTATTATAATCACCTAACCACCTTTTTAATGCATTTAGATTATCTTCATACATTACCGAATGAACAGAAGCCATGAAATAAAATAAACTATTTATATATTAATGTGTGGTTTAAACAGATCTACCAGTAAGATTAAAAGCGATAAATTCCTCAGTATGTTCCATGTTTGGTGTAAGTGAAAACAGTGAGTCAAAAGAATTGTATTCATTTTCAATGATTGTTGGTATTTATCTGGAATCCCTAGTAAAATACTATCACATATGGAAATAGAAATATTTTCATTTATAATGAAACAACAGGTATTACCGATTTATTTAATTAGTTCGCTTAGTTTTGTTGAGTGAATAAATGACCAATCTCTAACAGAAATATAGTCATATTAGATAAGATAATTGACTTACAAGATCGGATTTAAAATAATCGGTCATATATCGGTTGCATAAACAGACAAATGTCCAAAATGCATCCTCTTCTGGCATGTGTATAAGTAGCGCTGCAGCAATCGGTGCTTGAGCTTGGCAATAGCCAGTAGAAGGATGTAGCAGTGAATATGCTTTGAGTACGTTGAACAGAGATGCCTTTCTAATAAGTGAATAAAAATTGAGAGAAATAAAGGTGTTGAAGATTGTCCAAAACAGTGAACGGTTAACCCAGTGTCGAAATAGATAGTTTATACTAAATCTTAAATGCTCCATTGTTCTGTGTACGTTTACTTTTTTCACTCATATTTATATTTAGACTGTTTTGCCGTCTATTTCTCAGTATCCCGTTTTGAAACATGGTGATTTCAACTGATATAATTTGGCACGATGTTTCTTATTATTGCATAAGTCATAAATTCTCAGAGTGAAACCAGGTTATTTTAGCTCCATTTCGTAGTTTATCATTTATTCCAGGTTTGATAGACTTGTAGGCTTCAACAAGTAGCTGGTTTTGAAAACTATTCCTTCGTACCACAGAGAAACTTAATAATGAGTATGTCGTATGTCAAGACAGAAATTGTATCTTTGATTGATGTATTTTCTCACATGTAATCATATACTGCACTGCTTAGCAAATATAAAAGCTGAGGTCGTCATAAAGTTTCTTTATAAAATGTGGCATATATCACCTCCATCCTCTTGAAGGTGTCCCTCGCTTTGACAAAACGCTCACCCCATCTCCATTTTTAATGTTCAAAACTTAATTCGAAGCTATTCAAATTCTGGCTATCTTTAAATCTTAAATTTTGGTGAAATCGGGTGCATGGGCGATTTTATCAACAATTATTCGGCAATCACGAAACATATACAACAGTCTCCATCCTATCTTTCCATCAATACAGAAAACTGATGAATATTCTTGCGTGGTATCATTTTGTAGTATTCAGAGCCCTAAGTGAAACTCTTGGGCCCCCCAAGAGAGAGCTTTTTTTATTTTTCTTTATACACCCTTCAAAATTTCACGAGTCATGTCAAGGTTTTTCTCAGGTTACACCGAAAAGTTTAGTAGCTTAACATACGTAGCACTAGTAGCTCAAGAAAATATAGACTTTCTAAGTGAGTGCCTCACTAGCTAAACTCTTAAAATTTCACCAGCGCTATTATCAGAGGAAACTTTGATTTATAATACTGTAAAAAATTTATTTTCTTTTCTACTTTGTGCTCAATCAAACTATTTCCACTGTTACACTTTGAGAAGCGTCAGGCATAGTATGATCTATTGAGTTGGCAATTCAGTTCGACATTAAATATGAGATAACTTTTAATAATATGCTTTGATCGACGTGAGTGAAATATGTTTATTCAAGGAGGGCTAGTGTGGTTACTACCGGTAATTAAAGACAAACTTGACTTACCCATTACCATGGCTTGTAGCAAAAAGTACGTGATTAGGCAACTGTCTGCCGACATCTAATTTGATTTGTGAAATTGTCTTTGGATCACCCGACATTCTCAAGAGTACCTGTGCACGGTTTAATTATGAAAATAAGTAGTCAAGAAAAATAGGTCGCAGAAAGATTGTTCGTCTACATTTGTCCCAAATGTACCGAAGTATTCATATTAAATTAGCTGCTTTTTGCAACTGCAAGAGCTTTTATTTTGGAAAAAATTCAGCATGACTGGCAAAGTTTAATCACATGGTCAATAGCATTCGATCTGCACTAATAATAAGGACTAGACACGCATGACATTGGTCACCATCCAGTGATCAATCAATTGTGAAAGTCCAACCACGTCAGGAATGAGACGAACATCACCGAATGAACTAAACGGTACTCAATTGAGAATCGACTGGCGTTGAGAGTATAAACTAACGAACACTAACTTGGTGAATTCAAAGTCCCGTAGTGTCTGTTGGACCCGAATATCCATGACTTGATTTCTGGTTAGTTGGTTTAGAATTCTCAAGCCACGATAAAATATCTTTTACGTGTTCTTGAATTTTTAATAGCCCTTCATCTAAAGCAAGTCTGCAACCAAAAATGATTTCAAAATGTAAAGTTTCTACAGGTTTCTTGCTTTAAAAACTATGGTTTGTCAAGATTTTCTCCTGAACTGGTTACGTTATGTTAAAAGAGATGGTGGGGATTGGAGAGTGCCTATTCTGTTTCCTCATTAGGGATGTTAATATAACTGAAAAGAGATTGAAACAATGAGCAGTATTTAACGGTGACAGAAAATAGTTTATCAATAACATAGGGAGTTTTGTTCCAATTGCGCTTAAATTTTGGGTTATGTTCCATTTTTGTAGATGTTGTGGGCATATTGATCAAGTTTTCATGCTTCAATAAGTGCTTGGACACCACCACATTTCTGCTGGTGAAGATCGCTGGGGTAATCAACGGCTGGGTCATACTGAACACATTAGATATAAATACTCTGCCATCTTATGTTTAAAAACGTATAAAAATGTATAAAAATACCATAATCAGGATGGAGAAAATGTTAAAGCATGCTTTCTGATTTATTTACAAAGCGCAAAGTTCTACTCCTAGATTCACTAGCACTCTGTGGGAAGCCGTTGGAAATGATTGAAATATGTTTATAACTGAGTAGATTTCCCACTGCCCAAGTTGAAGTAAAGGAGTGAATAAATCTATAAACAGTAAAATCAAGAGCAGATTGTTCTAGTCTCGGACATATATAGCACCGTAGTCATATTATTTTAGCTGTAAACGTCAAGATATGCTAAGTTTTCATGAGATTACTTCTGCTCTGTATTTGTGAAAACTGGCCCATTTGGAATGGAAATACCTAGCGACTGTGTGTCAAATCACCGCCTTCTTCGAAAGATCACTTACCTTCACTGATAGCATTCTCACCAAGCTATGTTTCTTTGCCTCTGATACTAGGTCGAAAATACATGTATCCGTTTTTAAACGTAGTACAGTGATGTAGAAAATATCATAAAGGACGAGTGTCCCTAATTCCATTAAAACACGCTGGTTGAGATCCTATACATTGTATAATTCAGTAATTTGGGATGTTATCTGATAGTGTTCGGAAGTCAACGGCTGTCCTGTTGCTGTTTTCAACAGGAGTTTTCATAAAATCAAGATATACTTTTTAGTTGCTTGAAATCTATCTTGACTGTTTTTTTAAATGAACCGTATTTTTAAGAAAATCCATTTCTATTCGTTCACAGCCTATTACAACGAAATCCCTTCTTTCATGTTATTGTAATTTTTTATTTAATGGAGCATATTTTTTCCCTACTTGTCGAGAATGTCTATTCGTTATAAATAAAAGATGAAATAAGATAAAACTGGGGAATAATAAATCACGTAACACAATTAAATGGAACTGGCGTGGTGGAGAAATACGCATAAGAGTCAAATATCTCAAGTACTAAAAGACGGAAACGGATTCAGTGAACCAAATTTTCTATCTAATAGAATTACCATAATGATGCCGTTGGAAGAAGCGATATGACAAAATTACAAAGCAAAATGTGATGTTTTGTTCAACATTATTTCTGTTTTAATTCTATGTGGAAATTACTCATTGTAGTACTTGTTTTGTTTTCTAGTGTGATATTTTATTCGGTATAAAATTAATTTATTTGAGTGTGATGTTCACTTAAGATACAATATTCTTGTATTAAATTAAAACGAACTATGCTCAGCATGACACTCAGTATATTATTTGTTATAATTTTAGGTATTTTTCAAATATATGATTTCAACCTAATTAATAATGAAAATGGGTGTGCAATCAATATTTAATGAGTGTATTTTCGACTAGGATCGTTGTGCTTAATGGATAATAAATTTGCATTTTTAAAGTCTTGGTGTTCTTACTTTGTGTCGTGAGAATTGCAGTGGTTCCTCGTTTTACAAGTATAAGTAGTAAGCGATTCCGATATAACGATTTGCAACGCAGTCATAAGCGTTTTGGAATGAATAGCTAGCATTAATCTTATGTTACAAGTGCTACTGAGGAAGTTATATTAATGTTTTTCTCATGATTATCAACTTCTTACCATTTATATTTGAAAAGTAGTTGCCCAACAAATTGTATTTTAAAGAAAACAAATAGCATATATCATATAACTATCGATAATCTGACAGAGCAATTGCGTGTTTATATCTATGCAAAAATTTAAATAAGTAATGGCATAGAATTCTAATTCTTTTAGAGGTGATCATTTCAGAAGCTATCTTAAGAGGTTGAAATTTACATCAGTGTTCCACGTTTTAAACAATTTATCTTTATAGCACCAGATCAACAAGTAAACACATTTTTAAATAGATATGATCCACACAAAGATAATGAATGCAAGAACTAGCATAGCTTGTAATATTTACCGGTGATATTCAAGATAGATTTCAATTTATGCAAGTTAAAACTGCAACAGGAGACGACTATGGTTTACCTTCCGCAATTTTAATTACTAAAATATCATGAATCTATAATCTAATTATCTAGATAAGCTCATAGGGCAAATAAACTTGAAACATTTCAACCTATGATAATTGTATCACGATGATTATTATGTTTGTCTACCCTTGTACATCTTTATTGTCAGGGACGCTGAATAATAAAAAAACATAAATGTGAATCGCGAGTTATCTTATTGGGTATTTTTACCGTTATTAATACCTAGGCAACCTAAAAATTTACTTCATAAGTCTTTTATATTATATTCATGTGACATTTTTCAATGGAAATTGAAAGTCGGAATGTTTGGTGTATATGTTTGAACCTTACCTGATATTTCCCACTTTCCATCTGCATTATTTGATGGCTTCCACAAAGATACTGCCATACTCTTGAACGTATAGCTGGCGCAATACCTTTTCGACATTGATTTCTCACCCGATCTGTTTTATAGCACATCCATTTATCCCATTCAGTTAGCATGTTTTGCCATTTCAATTCTTTTCGGCGTATTTTATTCAAAGAGGATTCAGAAAGTTTCCTGTGTTTCTTGGTTGAACCTGATAATTCACCTTACCGCATGTTTGCTTCGCAGAATTGTTCACCTTCAAAGAATCCATAACGATCAACAGCACCGTTTATCATCAGGATATTGGCTGGTTTATCGAAACCTTCCATATATTTGATGAAAACTTATACTTGCTATAACAAATTACCGGAAGCCATGTCACCTCAAACTGTTGTAACTAAGTAGTCTAAAAGTACATTTTAACAACAAATTGCATAGCATAGAAATTCGATTTCTATGCCTTTTGGTTTTTATCGACTGCAAAGAATTCAGAAATAATCAGGATATAAAGTCGTCATTTATCCATATGTGACTCACAGCTCGTCCTGCAGACCTTGGTTATTGTTGACCTTTAACTTGTCATTGTTTCGTTCTTTATTTTGATTATATCTCCCACAGACTTGATTTGTGGTCCTATATTTGTCTATAATTTTTTTATTGACCAATAAATTGGATCAAACACTTCACGTCTACTTCTAGTTTGTGTTGATGATATCGTTCAGAAGATTGCTGAAGGCTCCACGATCAAACCATCCAGTTCAGATAACAAAACCCTACCAAAACCATCCACCTAAGCTACAAATCTTCTATACTACCTCTGTAACTTGCTTTACTTGTTTAGGAATATAAACTTTTTGTCCAGACATCAAAGTATATATAGAAAGTCTGATTTATTCTAGCTATTAATCATTATAGTGTTAGTAATGATGACAAAATGTCATACAGTCAACGGTTAGACCATGATAAAAGTCAGTTAGAGTGCATGTCTGAAAAGTGGTCACAATAGAAAACAGTCAGTCATACGCAACGTACAACTTGACAAACATGTATGTCATTTGAAGCTGCTGCTATCAATACAATTATTAACCCTCAAGATGTTTATGTCTCTGTTGTATAAGCGCTCATAACTTTGTACTTATGCCCAAATAAAGAGATGCAATAATGAACAGTTAAATATCCAATAAAAATCTATCATTATAATTTATCGATTTAGGGACAAACACGATAGCGTAAGATTTTAAGTATCGTTATGTCAATGAAGATCTATACTTTTGGGACCTGGTTTCTCACCGTAACTTCTTTCATCTTCTACGGATGAAAACGCTTGGCTGAGGTAAGCTTTACACTTTAATCATAAATATCAGCTAATGACACTAATTTAACATATGATTTAAACTAAATTAATGTGTTTGTAATTGCATGTTAAAAATTTCCTTCATTCATTCTGGCCACCAAGTTAACAAGTAACATTTTAAGAAATCATAGGACATTCTGTTAGTTTATTTACATTGACTTCACTTTTGGTTTTAGTTTCACTTTGATTTAAACGAATGGAAGAACTAAAGTGAATCTCTTCAGAGGTTTCAATCAGCATATTGGTTACAACCATTTCCTTTTAAGAGTTTGTAGACACTGTAGTAATGCTAAGAGGGTATTGGTTAAAGCTTTTGATCCTACTTCAGAAATAAACTGATTCACTGTAGTATTCATCATTAAAGTCTACTTTCAGAATGAAACAAGATATTGTTGAGTTTGAAGAGATGTATGAAAATGTTTCACATAAGGTGGTTAAAATGGATTGTCAAACTATATTTCAAATAATACAGTAAAATGAGCGAAGATTCAGCCATTAGTTGACGGGAGATCTGATATAGGGCTTTAAAGTTATAACCGTGAAACATGATGAATCCGTTTTCATGGGTCTAGTGAACAACAAATATTAATTGTATATTCTCTCTCATGTCTCAGAGCCAGTCAAAGTCACTGCATATTGCGAATAACAGAAGCTGGGTAATTAAGCACATGTGACGTTTCACTAATTTTTTAAGTTTTATCACAATTTTTGTCTAGAGGCTGATTAGATGTTAATGTACGCTGCAGCGTCAGCACCTTTTGATCATGATCAATCTAATTATTCGGTTGTCTGAAATTTGACTCCGTAGAACCAAATGATAATGATGTTATGGAGGTTTGTATATCCTGTTTTCTTAGTAGATATCCTGTCGACGTATCCCGTCAATAAGAACGTAGATGTGTGAAGTCAAGTATGAAAGTATTAAAGAAATACGTATTTCAGATATTTCACAGGGTAAAACAGCAAGAAACGAGAAATACACGTGAGCTGGAGGTGCAAAAGCAACCAATTCAGTGTGCAAAAAATTACTCAGTTCCTTCAAGCCTGAAAGAGTTATAAACCGACGCATTCTAGAGAATGCGTCCAAAGTGTGAAAACTATGCCACTTCTCGGGAATCGTACTCTTAACTCCGTGGGATACGTTTTCTCAGTTGAGGTTTGTCTGCGACAACAGACATATTGATCAAGAATGTTGACAACAATGGCGTGAGTGTTTTAGAATTGAGTTATGTTTTTTGTTAATTGACTGAAAAAAACGTTTATACATAATCGTGAGGTTAATTTCCCAATTTTAGGAAAATGGCACTTAAAACACGAACTTTCCCCTAAACACTGATGAAGTTCATTTGACTTAAGGGGGGTTTACCCCAAATTCACCAAAATATCCCCAAACTTGATACATTGAGATAACAAACACAAATTATGTAGTCCCCACGATGCAAGCCAGTTACTCAAACAATTCCTCACATTAATAAGTTCCAAACTTAATCGTTTATGAAAAATAATAAATGAACTTAATTTGTCCAGCATAATGATTAATAAAAGCTGCGGTATTATCGTTGTCATTGCCAGTGACCTTCAATAGTTTTCAATATCCAGTTTCTTCAATGAGAGCTTCTGAAGACTGCTTGATTTTCTTGTGGTCACATCTCATTAGTTTGCATGGTTCTGAATCTTCCATAACTTTTATTGGACTGTAGTCCAGCCAATTGAAAGTTCTATTTTTTTCAGTTTAGTAATTATTAATGGGTAGATTTATTTTGTAATGAGTCTGTCCAATTATCTTAGCGTAGTAGGATTAAAGTTCGACGAGGTGTCGACTTACCAGGCAATAAGTTTGTTGGCTGAGGTTTGAAAAATAAAAATGGGAAAAATTCTCATTTCTAAAGATGACTATCTCAGAATGTAAGTAGATAATTAGGTTGAATAGATGGCAATACAAATGGTGTGATCAGAACAAAGTGTGAGGCAAAAGGGAAACAGAGATGATGACGAACAAGAAAGAGGCAAGCTGACTGTTTACGAAATTGGTAATAGTAGGTGGGTTGTGACATAGGTATCAGGTACACCTGGCCAATGAGCTCAGTGGTAATCCATGGATGTGTACGTGTTTATCAAACATCCTGCATGAATTAACCTCGAGATAGTTTGTGATTTTTTCGTTAGTTGAGCATCCTAAGTGATGTCTAGTCTCAATGAAGAGAATTGGGTTATGCCTGGGTTTTCGCCCTTGGACACGGAATTTTTCGGGTGTTCCTGCACTCAATGTGGCGGTGAGTTTTTGGTCATATGTTTTAGTTTGGGTGACTTTATGTACTCATTATGTTGTGTTCAATTATCGGGCCACATATTGTTCTGCTACAGCATGGAAGATATAATTATACTTTTTAAAGTCTATCTTCATAAAACTTGTTCCTCAGCTCACCCACTCACTTTGCTGTTCGTCTCTGTACTTGGTCTAAGACATTTATATCCTTTATGAAAAAGGACGCAACGTTTAGAACTTCGCGACGAGCCAGTGTGTACGTTTTGAATACTGCTAGAAATAATTCCTAGATAATGATGGGGAATTATGATCTATGTTCGTATTAAATACATTTATCTTTTTTATCAGAAGAAAGGACAACCCCAAAATTGTAGATTTGCCATAATATGACTAGCTAGTCTAGAAGTTGTTATGTGGAATTCACATTATTTTCTGAACAGACTCGTTCTATTGTGACAGGCAGTAATAAGGTATCAAGTACTTCTGAACAAACACATTTGGTCTGGGCGTAGAGCAATATGTTTAGTATGAAAAGGAATAAGTTAGATAGAGTGACCACGCTTGCATGGACGAGCCATGTCTGAATGATCAAGTGCTTTCAAATTCATCATTCCTGAAATCCATGATGTTAAATGTCGAATGTTGTACACCAGATTATCATATGTGATGTGAAGATCGTAGTGGTAGTTAATGCCAGTCTGAGCAGCATATCTTCAGAGAGATATGTTGTTCAAATAGTTTGGAATGTGACATGCAGCAGAAGATTGTTCAAATGAGATGTTACGAGAACATTGAAAGCACCGAGGTAGCTAAATGTTCTGGAAAGGAGTCCCAAAGCACATTAATGCTCGGTGATAGAAGAATGTCAGTAGCAAAGGGCACCAAAAGTTTTGCACATGTGATATCCAGGTCCTTTTGTGAGCGAAAGAATATGGTGCTGGTATTGTTCAGGAGTTACTTGATGGATGGAGCATCAATGCTGTTCAATATTATCACTCTACATCTATTGTTAGTGGTGGGAAGTAGGGATCTCGTTGTCCTGTTTTATGTCCTCAAGTATTTTCGATGAGATATCAGCTAAATTGAGTATCTACCTCCCATTCTGAAGATCATCACATATAGAGATGTTTGAGCACTAGGATAATTGTTGATCAACAATGCGAACAGAATTGATCTATGTACTGGGCCTTGTGACACTTCACTTATCACTTAAAACAAATCGCATAAGGTAGATGGAAATCTGATGGGTTCTAATTTTTCCCAAATTCACACAACATATAAAATAACTATAAATATAATAGTCTGAGTCGAGAAAATAATCATCCAATTTCCCATTGAATTAGTTTTAGCCTGTCTTTCTACTTGGCTTTCGAAGGATGTTAGAAAATATGCTTTTGGAAATATAAATGTCTATAATACCGTGCAATTGAAGAGTGGCCTGAAATTCACACGATTATGTAGTTATATACGGTCAGTATAGTGGCAGCACGAAAAATAAACCGGAACTCAGTGGACTGGAAAAGTAATGTGTTATAAAATTTTTATACATATAAGCAAAACATTTTAAAGACAAATATGAATCTATGAATATCATCAAAAAACTAAGACCGAGACAGAATCATATCATATTTATGAAACTTGTTGAGTGATTTTTTCACTATACGCACATCAATAGTGCCAGTTGGAATTTTCGGCTCCTACATCGTTCCGGGTCCTTAATTCTATTTGACCACTTAGGACTGCTTTCATTCAAAAGT